AATTTCATTAACTAGAAAGTACTTTTCTAATCGTTCCACATATAACTGCCAGTCGTCACAGTTAATTTTGAACTCGGAAATTTTATATACGCGTAATATTCTTTTTTTGTTTTCTCTCGTCGCCACTGTTATGTCTACGCACTTCTTTGCCGGATTAAAGGGTCCGAAATTATACTACACGACCTTACTGTACAACGTATATTGGCCGAATGGTTTGCTACATTGCTACCCACTAGTTACAATATATTACAGTTTCCAGAAAACTCTTTTAAATCGATTTTCGGTGTGGAATGCTGGTAATCTATAGTACGAGAATACAGTCACGAAATAAGCGAGATACAAATACAAAGTCTACACTAAAAGCAGCAGAGCAAATTATACCGATATATGTATCAAGATTTGCAAACGAACGGAGACTGATATACAGAATTACCTTAAGGATAATGGACTGAGTATATATGGAATCGAAACATTAAACCAAAAGAAACCTACAAGTTTTAAATCATTTAAAGTTCTGGTAGCCAAAAAGGATCTGAGCACTGTGTTGAAAGAAGACTTTTGGCCGGAATCTATTGTATTTAGAATCTTTAAACAAGGAAAAAACGAAACAGTAACCACAAACTAGGATCAATAACTCACTGCATATATTGAATTTATACATATATACTAATAGCATATGCATATAATACTATAGCATTTTTTTTAAACGATTCTATTATATTCGATTATATTTATTTTTGGTAATGTAATAACTAGTAAGTTATTACATTACCAAAAATAAATATAACACATCCGAAATATAAAAAGTTAACCAAAAACAAAATTTATTAAAATCGCTATCATTTTGGGGCAATTTGAACACTTCCATTTTGGCGCGCTTTTTTTGTGACGTCAGATTACACTTTCAGACGAATTCGATGTCAACAACGGAGTGAAGTTCACAAAGTTTGTGAAAGTTAAAAAAGTGAGTGATAAAAATTAACTTATTACCATGGAAAAGCCAATAAAAACTTATTATAAATATTGTGCCGTTCCTTTGTGCCCAAATAATATCAAAACTGCACCTGACAAAGTATATTCAGTCATTGTGTTGAGTCTTTCTACACGGAAATTTAATAATTTGACACTGAAAACGTATTAGTTATTAACTTAAAATGAAACAAATAATAGATAGATAGATAGATAACTCTTTATTTGCACACTAAATTACAGAGTTACAAGAAAGGAACACAGCGATCAAATATCGAGTGTACAAAGGGCGGCCTTATTGCTAAATGCAATTTCTTCCAGGCAACCTTAGGATGGATCAAAAGTTGCAGAGAGATAGTAGTAGTTGAATATCTGCATTTGTGAACCTACTATTAGTTTATTATTATCTACTATACATATTACATATACTACACATATTAATCACCAGAAATAATAATAAATAATACATAAATAATCACCAGAAACCAAATATTACAAATACACACAACTTGTTGACACTCTTGACAGTGTAGGTTGACGTCACGTTTTATTCAACCAATAGCGTTGCGTTTTAGAAATTTGCGAGGGAATCTTAAAAAAGCCAATTTTTGATGATTAAATTTCACTATTAAATTATAATAAATTTCAAAAATAATTATATGGGTATCTTTTTTTAGCAATAAAAATTACAAATAAAAATATTTTGGCCATTTTAGTGTTACGTGCATATTCCCTATTGTCAATTGAATACAGATAACAGGAGAAAAGTTACATAGAATGGGAGAGGAAAGAAGAAGTGTAAAGATGGTGAGCTATAATTGCAAGTCTGTAAAAAGGTCGCTGCCCTATGTAACACAATTGTGTGAGGATTACGATATAATAGCTATACAAGAATTATGGTTACTGCCGGATGACCTGGGATTCCTGGGACAGATACATAATGACTTCGAATATGACGCTGAAGGGAAGACCATACGGTGGTATTGCGTTATTGTACAGGAAGCAATCTTCACAAGTGTTGTGGAAATAATGTCTAGTGCGAAACGTACTCGTATTGTAGCAATAAACGTGAATCTCGCGGACCGTAGTATGCTGGTGATGTCAGTGTATATGCCAACCGAATGCGTGGACAATATTCCCGAATTTACAGAGTGTTTGGTAGTAATGAGTTCAATCATAGAAGACAGCGGTATTGAGGGTGCTGTGATGCTGGGAAATTTTAATGCGGATGTGGGTAGTATGTTCGGAAAAGAACTATCATGTTTTTGTGAAGACCAAGACTGGGTATATGCTGATGTTAACATCTTGGGTGAGTCTTCTGATACCTATACTTTTGTTAGCGAGGCGCACAGTACATGTAGCTGGCTCGACCACTGTGTTGTGACGTCAGCGGCGCAAGGTATTGTGAAACATGTTGGTGTTATCAAGAACGTATCATGGTCGGACCACTGCCCACTGGCAATAGAAAGTGACATATCTGTACTTGTATCTAAAACAGTTCTACGTGATGGTAATGTGGTGAATAAGCGAGTGCTCTGGGGTAACAAAAACAGCAAACAAAAAATGTCATATACAAATTTTTGTAATAAATACTTAAGTGACATAAATATAGGTCAGTACGACGTGCTTTGTTGTGGCTTGCCGTGTAGTAACCAAGTACACCATAAACTAATAGATCAACTTTATTTAGACATCGGCGACTGTTTACGTCGTGCAGCGATACGTTTCTGTGACGGTTCAAACAATTTAAATAAAAAAAGACGCGTCATTGGCTGGAACTACCACATAAAGCAACTGCACATGCAGGCGAGACATGCTTTTCAGCTATGGTTGCTAAACGGTAGGCCGAGACTGTTAAATATCACATCACATCACATCACATTAACAGCCTTTAATAGTCCACTGCTGGACACAGGCCTCTCCTTAGAAAGAAGGTTTGGCTAAATATATCCAATATAATATTATTCTTAACACTACTAGCGCCAGAATCTTAATTTAGTTTGTTCTATGTTAGTTGTCTATGTATTTTATCTATGTAATTTAACTTGGAAATAAAGTTAGTCTATGGCAAACAGCTATCGTGTTTCTAACAGGTTATGGACCCAGGCAAATGTTTCGAAATAATTCTGAGTATTAAGTGTTATTTCTCAAAATGTCGACCTCGAGTTACATAATAAATGTACCTAAATTGAAAGGAAGAGAAAATTATGATGATTGGCCGTCAAGAAATTTCTGGTGTTAGAAGGCGTCGATATAGAAGATATTTCGCCGGATTTGAATGAAGCAGAACAAAGAAAAGCGAAAGCCAAACTTGTGATGACCGTAGATCCTTCGTTATATGTGCATATTAAAAATGAAAATACAATTACAACTGAATGGAACAAGTTAAAGCAGTTATTCGATGACAAAGGATTCTTCAGAAAAATCAGTTTACTACGAACATTGATAAATATTCGTCTTGAAAACTGTGAGACGATGACAAATTATGTGTCTCAGATTGTGGAAACTGCTCAACGGTTGAAAGGTACAGGATTTGAAATCAATGAAGAATGGATCGGATCATTACTTTTGGCGGGTCTGCCAGAAAAAAAATCGCCCGTGATAATGGCGGTAGAACATTCTGGTGCGAAATATTTTGTGCATTCCTAACCTCACAACAAATCTATTATCAGTTAGCCAGTTGATTGCAAACGGAAACAAAGTATCATTTAATAAAAATGCTTGTTATATTCGTAACCAACAGAATGTGCTAATAGCAATAGCAAATCTAGATAATGGAGAGTACAAATTAAACATAGTGAAGTCAGAGAAGTTGCTTGCAGCAACGGCAGTTTCCAACACAGATGCAAGGCAATGGCATAGAAGACTGGCACATATCAACAGCTGTGACCTGGAAAAAATGAAAAATGGAGCTGTAAAGGGAGTCACCTACAAATAAAAAGCTGATGTAACAAAAGCTAACTGTGAGGTGTGTTGTGAAGCAAAACAAGTTCGTTTACCATTCCCGTCTTCAAACCACAGAAGTGAAACATTGTTAGAAATTGTGCACTCAGATTTATGTGGTCCTACGGAGACAAAATCCATTGGAGGAGCAAAGTATTTCCTTCTTTTTGTGGATGATGCTAACCGAATGGCATTTGTTTATTTTTTGAAAGAGAAAAACCAAGTGTTATTGTTTTTCAAAGAATTTCTGAGTATGGTTGAAAAACAAACTGGAAACAAAGTTAAAAGTCTTAGAATAGATAATGGAGGAGAATATTGCTCACGACAGATGGAAACATTCTTGAAGGCATCAGGTATTGTCCATCAGAAAACTAATCCATATACTCGAGAATAAAATGGTCTTTGCGAGAGGTTCAATAGGACTGTGGTTGAACGTGCAAAATGTTTGCTCTTTGAGGCTGATTTAAATAAGAATTTCTGGGCTGAGGCAGTGAATACGGCAGTATACTTAAAAAATAGGTCGCCAGCTTCAGGCCTAGGAGAAGTGACACCATTTGAGAAATGGACAGGGAACAAACCCGATCTTAGTCATGTAAGAGTGTTCGGTAGTCCTGTAATGGTGCATGTGCCCAAGTTTTTTTTTTTTTTTTTTTTTTTTTTTTTTTTTTTTTTTTTTTTTTTTTTTTTACTACATTCACACAACGCCATCTAGTCCCAAACTAAGCAGAGCTTGTACTGTGGGTACTAGACAACTGATATAAATACATATATACTTTTTTTTTGTAAATAAATACTTATTATACATAGAAACACCCAGACCAAATCAAACATTGAATGTGCATGCACACAAATGTTTGACTTGAGCGGGAATCGAACCCGCGACCTTTGGAATAGCAGTCCGTTACACAAACCACTACGCCATTCGGTCGTAGATTAAGAGACAAAAATGGGGTAAGAAAGCCGTTAAATCTATTTTTGTTGGCTACCCAGAAAATACAAAAGAATATAGGTTATACAATCCTGAAACAAGAAAAGTTACTACTAGCCGAGATGTCACTATAATGGAAAAGAAAAAAAGAGATACTGAAATGGCTAAGATTGTAGTACAAGAAGGAAATAAAGAGCAGGATCAACTATCAGATCAAGAAGAAACAGTTGAAATGAATAATACTGTCTTGGATGAGAATGACCCTACTTACATATGTGACACTTCAAGTTCTAGCTTAAAATCAGATGACTCCTACCATACGCTATGTGGAGAAGAAAATGATACAGGCGCAGATGAAGTACCCATAGTAAGCAGTAAGCGTGTCAGAAAACCAGTTGAAAGGTATGGTGTTACAAAACTCTGTGTTGTAGACGAGTTGGGCATTTGCGATGAAGAAATCACTAATGAGGAGGCGATGAACGGTGCCGAAAGTGAGATGTGGAGACAGGCTATGAAAGAAAAGTTAAAAGCTTTTGAAGAAAACCAAGCCTGGGAAATGGTAACTGACAAGGAAGCGGATAGAGTGGTTCAATGCAAGTGGGTTTTCAAAAGAAAGTTTGAAAGCGATAATAAATCCTGGTACGCCCTCCTGTCCGGAGGGCGTGCACGGCGAATGGTCATGGGGGAGAGCGCAACAGTCGTGTAGATCCCCATGGCAAGTCTGGGTGTCATCCTTCCCGTGGTTGCCGCCTGTTTTAGGTCTGACTCCCTACGAAACAGATATAACAGAAACACCCAGAAGCAATTCCATCCCACAAAACCTATCCTTTCCCATTTTCTATCCCAACCACACCTTCTGCGGACACTAAGTGGTTGGTGCCTGCGGCCTCACTATCAACAAAGACGGAAAGTGAGGGGGAGGGGGGGGCAACCACCCGCATGTTTGTGCCGTGTGCGGGGACCCGTAAGAGAGGATGAAGGGATGCTGGTAGTGGAGCTGAAAGGCAACACACTGCTTTGGCCTGGATTTCTCCTTACACGGGAGGCTGAAGGCTAGCCACCTTTGGTCAATCGGCTGTAGTATCCCGTCAGAGGGCTGCTGGGCGAGAGCTCTTCCTTGGTGGGGGTGGACGACGGGTGGGACGACCAAGTCTTCCTACCTAGTTCGGCCTGCCTTCTGCCAGGGAGGGAGCTCTATATTTCCTTGTCACTTCTGGCGTCATGTGCCTTCTGCCGCGGCGTCCCTACTTGAGGGCTCCAAGGAGGGTGGAAAGACAAGGAGATGAATAGTATACCAAAATCATTATGGATACTAAAAAAAATATTGTTAAAAAAACTACCAAGCCGGTACCGAGGGTGAACAACCCAAGTGTCAGGCTAAACCACCAATCGGCTGACCCCAGGATGAACAACCCAAGGGTGAATTTAGTTATTTTATTTATTTATTGAGGCACACAAAACAGAACATAACACAAAGCTTAGTCTTATAGATAGCTAACACAAACAGTTTCGATCTTAGCTATGCTCCTAAATATGTGTACACAACATGGCAATGTAGGTGATACAAGATGAGATTACATGCAACCTAAAAATAAGTATAAAATTTGAAACGTATTTAAAATGTATAAGATGTTTAACAGATCAGACCAACGTTGATGACATAATATGCGTAACATTATTTTTAAATTTACTAAATTTGATATTAAATATGTCTAGGGTGTCCAAATGTTGTTGTAATAATTCATTATAGAGACGACACATTCTAACAATGGGATTATAAAAAGAAGTATTATTTAGATGCACATTCCATCCACAATCCGATGCACATCCCATGCACAATCCGGCCAATACACCTTTGGCTGCTGCTCAGGCGAACAACCCGACCGCAGCGCCATCTACGACTCTGGCGACATCTCTGGTGTCTAACCAGAGTACGGAGCCAGTGTCGACCATCGACCTCTCCTCTTCCTGCGGGACCCGGCCTGGAAGAAACCGGCTGGAGCCTGGTAAGGACAAAGAAGAGAGCGTCGAAAAAACCAAACTCTTCCAAGAAGACCCGCAACGCCAACAGGGCGAAAGCCCGAGTGGAAAGGCAAGCACGGTGTCTGACCTCGGGTGGAAGTAAGCGGCTTGAAGTCGCTGAAGGGCCCGAAGGGGCCCACGTTGCCCCCGCCAGTGACGTGCTGCCCCGAGGCGAAGACGAAAGTCTAGCCACGGGGAAGTGTACTCCTGTGGGGGTGCCACCTGCCAAGACACCTGTAGCGGCCAAAGTACCCTCTAGGCAGGGTCAACCTGGACAGGGTAAACGGGCGAGACGAGTGACACATGGAGGGAAACCTTCACGTGACACAAGGCCCGCCAAAAGAACTCGCCCGGACGAGTCTCGCACTCCCCAGGGTAGTGGCAAGCGATTCAAACCGCTGCCAAAGACCGGCTCCACGAGTTACTCCGACGCACTAAAGGCAAATGACCTCTGCGTCGCGGTCATGCTGGAGCCTTACCACGACCTTACCAAGGCACAGGCACAGGACATCGAGGGCCAGCTGCAGGGCGTGCTAGATGAGGAGATCTTCTCGCCCGGCACGTCAAGCGCACCCGTCGCTGCGGCACAGTTTAGGGGCAAGGCCTTCTACAGTGAGGGCGCCCTTAAGATGTGGTGCAACGACGAATACGAATGCAGTGGCTTCGCCGATCCCTGGAAAGGATCCCGTCACCGCGTGAAGGCACCAAACTGGTCGTCAGGAGGCAGTCTGAGATCCCGAAAAGGATCAAAGCTGGACTCCTGGTACCACAAATCGGACCAGATGATACACTGGTCCGTATACAAACTAGGCTAAAGTACCAGAATAGCCAGTACAATGTGGCCAACTGGGCCCTCTACCATGCCGAGGCGCAGGAGGAAAAGAAATGTCTCTTCCTAGTGCTTGGCATCCCAGAAGAGGACGTGTTGAAGCTCAGGGCTAGCGAGCGTAGAGTATACTACAAACTGGGTAACCTCTACGTTCGCCTTCTTGATGAACGTCCCGCCCCACCAACTACCCCAGACGAGGAGCCAGAATCGGCCCCACAACACCCTAAGGACGGCAATGGAGGGGATCCTCTGAGATCCGTTGAGGAGACAGCCTGCCGAGGTCCACCTCCTGAGGAGTTGAAGGACCTACCGGTGGGCGAGAGTGACCTCGACGACATAGAGGATATGCTGAACAGTAGGGTGTCCCGAATTTTTTTTATTCTTATTTTAGCTACTTAAGACCTCTCAAAAGTTGCGCTGTTAGACGTAGATTAGCGTAAAAATAATTCAAAAAATATTTAAAAATATCCTTAGGGCTCTACCAGCATTTTTATTTACTGAAAATTCGCAAAAACAACCTTGTAGTCAATGTCGTATATTCTATGTTTTATGAATCAATCCTGTTTTGTCTTGTAATTTTATCAATAAGAAAAGCCTCGGCTATGATTTGCAAGTATCGACATGTTGTTTTAGCGATCAATCGGTTTGGATCGGACTTGCAAAATTCCTACAAAATTCATGTTTTGACTTGATTTTCGCACGTGCGCTACTTCTACAACAAGACAGTTCGTCTCATTTCTATTTCGATTTTACTCTTGTAAGGAGTTGTTCTATTCTTCTTTGAAAGAAAAACGTAATTTGCGTTACTTAATCATAAAAATGTGTTCAAGGCGAAGTGAGACTACTTGTACTATATTGGGGCCTTATAAAGAACTTGACGATCGCCAGTTACCTGTTATAAAAGACGTTATTAAGTGCATTTTATTTACTAAAAGTGAATTAAAACTACAGAAAAACGGAAAAGATCCATCGAACACAGAAGTCTTTTCAATAGTTTCTGGATAACTTAACACAATTTGGACCAAAGCTTCAATTCCCATCGTTTCTAACGTACGGGTTACTCAACTGCTAACCGCATATTTTAACAAATATTTATCACTAATAAGATATCCTAAAAGTAAGAGAAACGATAGCTATGACAACAAAGTTAAGTGCTTTTTGGAATCGTCAAATAAGCTTTTTGACATCGCTGCTTGTAAGTGCACTTCGTTTGAAAATTGTTCCTGCACTAAACCCAAGAAAGTTCCCATTTCTGAAAGAGATTTTTTACTGGACCAAAGAAATGATAGGAAAATGGCAATAAGCGGCGTAGACGCAAAAGAAACTGCAAGGCTTTTAAAGAAACATCAAAGACAAGAAAATTTGAAGCGGACAGAGCAAGCATGTTTTCCGAGTACTTCACAAACCGATACTGTACCGGTACGCGTGTTGCCGCCTCGTTCACAGTCGCTTTCAATAGAACCTTCTACTAAAAGTGACTTAAAGGAGTCTCCATCTAATTAATTTAGTCGGAACACTCTGACGCTGCCAACAGTAGCTAAGGTATGTGATCGATACGGACTATCAACGCGTTCGGCAGCTGCAGTCGCTTCAGCAGTCTTAGTTGACGTAGGAATGGTATCTTCCGAAGATCTAAACCTTGTGATTGATAAAAATAAGATTCACAGAGCTGTTTCAAAGTCACGTACCCAAGCCAGCAAAGACATCGATAAAATTATTATAAAGAGTATCTACTTCGATGGGCGAAAAGATAAAACTCTCAAGATCAATAAAATAGACAGCCGGTACCACCGAAAAGAAGTCTTAGAAGAACACATTTCAGTTCTTACAGAGCCGGGATCTATTTACTTGGGACATACGACGCCGAGTCGAGGTACTGCGAAAGGGATTGTCACTTCTATTATAGAATTGTTAGAAAATCAAGGATGGAACTTAGAAGAAGTAAGTTGTGTGGGTTGCGATGGCACTCCTACAAATACAGGTTGGAAAGGAGGTGTCATTAAATACCTGGAAGACTATTTGAAGAGACCGTTACAATGGTGTGTTTGTATGCTTCACACAAATGAATTACCGCTTCGCCATTTGTTTATGTATCTAGATGGTAGCACATCTGGGCCGAAAGAATACTCAGGACCTATTGGAAAACAGCTAAATGTTTGTGAAAGTAAACCACTAGTGTCTTTTTGTGCAGTGGCTGGCAATTTGCTCGAATTACCTGATGACATTGTGAAGGAACTAAGTACGGATCAAAAGTATCTGTATGAAATGTGTCATGCTGTGACGACTGGTTCTTGTTCCCCTGAGTTAGCGAGCCGCCAACCTGGAAAAATGGCGCATTCAAGATGGCTAACTAACTACCAATCGCATACTCAGACTTTATGTAAGTACTGTTTCGCCATCAAATAATTTAAAGCTGCTTGTCAATTATGTGGTCAAAGTTTATGCTCCAGTTTGGTTCCTCATTAAGAAAAACTCATCATTCAAAGATGGAGCCAATCATATTTTTCAAATGGTTACATACTCCCGATTTTTGCCTGATAAGCAAAGATCTATTGTGAATTCAGTGATCGAGAGAAACGCTTTTTTTGCTCACCCTGAAAACTTACTTGTTACTATGCTATTCGACGACAGAGAGCATATTCGAGAGCTTGCAGCTCGCAAAATATTAAAGGCAAGAGAAGCAGAAATAAGCAATACTCGCAGAGTAT